GGAATCTGATCAATTCCTGGAGATTTATAACTTTTCAACGTCCCAATGGCCAGTTCAACTTCATCTAAGCTAGGTTCTGGCACCAACAGTTCAGCTGCATGTATTTAATAGGTCTAATATCACTAGTCTCATGAACATTTAAGAGCTCGCTCACCGCTGCGAAAACTTCAAATCTCGCCCTGAAGATGGAGGCAGTATGACCTCCGAAACGTTAGAAAAACATCTACCAGACTACACAGCGCATCATATCAGAAGACAGGAATCTTCATTCTCACCGCTGAGAAAACTTCAAATCTAGCCCTGAAGATGGAGGCACTAATACCTCCGAACTTTACTTTTAAAACCTTTAAATGGAATGGTAAGTATACGTACCAACTGCTCCAACAATCAGTAACACTTGTCTTTATGTGCTTTGTGTGGTTCTCGCCGTAATCAGCGGTCAATTTCTTAAACAGCGTTAGCCAGTTGATCTTTGTAATGGTGAAGTGAAGTGTTTTCTTCGCGGTACGGACTGGATTCTTAAATATCATTCAAGGATTCATTCGCTAACAGCATTCTGACATTCCTTTCAATCCATGAATGTACTTCAAATTAACTTCTTTTACAGAATTAAATTCTTCAAGATTATTATAATTTCCCTTCAACTGTTTAATGTGCCTGAGTTCAGTGTTATTCAGGGAACAGGGGGTCATGGAAGGGGTTGGGGCTGTGCCCCCGTCACTAGCACGTTTTCAACTCATGTTTCGTAAATACGTAACTAACTGTAAATAAATTTAGGTTATGTTTACATATTCTACGAAAACGTTACTTCATCTGCAGTTGTAACGAAAATATCACATACAATAAAAGCAAATATAAATTATTGCACCATTCTTTTGCGTACGTTTTCTTAAATTACTTGAATAAATTTGGACGTAAATACAGAAATAGACCAGCAAAATTAAGTTAGAAGAGTCGGTCTATATAAAAAGGGTGTAACTTAGTGGCCCTCTTAGCTAAACCCCAGGGTTAGAAGGACAGTCTTCTGTGTAGAGTACTCAGACCAATAAATAAATGAATAAATATGATTTTTCCCCTCTAGGGAGTCGATCCCCTGTCAGTCAGATCGTAGCCAGTCACTATACTGACTGTCAAAAGACAGATAATATAACATAATATAAGCCAGGTTAAATGTATGACTTAACGTAATCCCTTAAACGATTGAAAACAGGATGGCCTACATACATGAAAGTGCGATCGAAGTGCACAATTTTTAAAAAAAAATTCAAAATTAATGTATCTGTTACAACTAACTAACTAATGAATAATTCTGTCTCGTGATTACACTTCACAAATCTTTTTCGCAGACGTCCGTGTGAGTGCGACCCAAAGACGTATTTTTAAGACGACACAAAGAACCACTTACATATTCTCCCCAAAAAAGCGCCAACTTCCAATAATCGATATGAGGACACCCGAGGCAGATGAGCCCAAACACTACATATATAT